AAATCCATTAGGGTGGGTTCTGGTGTCAATGAACCCACTGATCATGATCCAGATCCTTTTTGAACAAGCCTGTGATCTTCCCAAATGTCACACTTCACATGTTTTCTGGATATGCAGAGGTGCGGACACGCTGGTGGGCCAGGCCAAAGAGTGGGAAGCATCCGGAGAGTATAACAGAGCTGTGGACTGCTATCTGAAGGTCACTACCCAACAGACTAATGACGAGAAGGTCCTAGTGGCCTGCTGGACAAAGGTGAGATTGAATGACCAGTCTGCAAGAACATTTGTCGAACGGATACCTAGAAAAACCAAGTGGCCTGCTGTGCAGAAGTCACACTGAGTGACCACTGTCTTGAGATAACTACTTTGATCGAGGCTTGGAGATTGTTAAAAGTCTTGGACAAAGCCAGGAAGGAGTGACCAGTGACCAGATCGTGAATACCAAATGATATTTTTTTTTGGCTCTACAGGCTGCCGAGCTGTCACAGAAGTTCCTGGACACACCCAAAGCCCTCAGCGTGGTGCGCATCGTCGGACCGAGACTGGCAGACGTCCAGAAATATAAGGAGGTAACTTCTGATTTCTTTTTTCCCGTTAGTTTTCACATGGCACCGATAGGCACAAATCCATCTGCAAGCTTGAAAGGTGTCGCTGAAATCTGCCCTGGACAGTAGAGCCAGCCTGCACTTCTTAGGAATGTCTGCATTCGATATTTTCTTCCACATTGTAGAAAAAAAGCATCGTAGCTAGTATTGGCAGAAATGGGTCTTGAACTAAAAGCTTCCTGTCACGGTAGTCATCAGAAGAGTCCACTGCCTTTCTCTTTCATAATTTACACCCACGTTGTCATTTCTGAAATGCCGGAATCATTGCTGTTGAATTGTTTTCCTCCAAATGATCCACTCCCTCGAGTTCCTCCTTTCCACTTCTTTTGAATTACCGCCTGTCTCCATGGGTGTTTGTTTCTAACTGATCCCTGCCGACCTCTTCCACAGGCGGCCGAGATATATCTCAGCGTGGATATGATCAAGGAGGCCATCGACACCCTGATGGAAGGCGGGGAGTGGAACAAAGCCAAGAAGGTGGCCAAGGAGTTGGAGCCTCGCTACGAAAACTACGTGGACACCAAGTACAAGGAGCACCTGAAGAGCGAGGGCCAGGCCGAGTCGGTAAGTCTCGGGGGGAGAATCTTGAAAATGTAAGGTACAGATTTGTTACTCTCTGCTGGTCTAGATCCGCCACTCGGTTGTGCAGCGTCCAGGACAGCTTCTCAAAGGAGCATCTCAGACTGAGAACGTTAAAGAAAGAAACATTCCAGTTAGTTGGAACACTGTTCACTTGGAAGGGATTCGCGAAACTTTCTGACGAAAATTGTCGGTAAAATTTCCAGATTTTCCTGAACATATACTCATAGGATGTTTCTAAGGGTCATTTCACAGCCAGCTAATCCTTATCAGTGTATTAGAAAACTATGAAAATGTTGGCTCATGGTAAATCCAGGGAAGATTAGTGCTTTGAATGATTTATAAGGGATCAAGATCACCATCGTGATATCCCCAGCTACTCGGTAATCATTTTCTTGACATTTTGGACTCGTTTGCCAATTCATGGCCTTTCCACTGTTGTAGTTAATCGGCGTGGATGTCATTGCTGCCCTGGACATGTACGCCGGCCGCGGCGAGTGGGACAAATGCATCGAGACCGCCGAGAAGCAGGGCTTCAAGGTGCTGCACAAGTACGTGGCCCTCTACGCCACCCACCTCATCAAGGAGAACCAGATCCACAAGGCGTTGGACCTGTACGTGCAGCACGGCGCCCCTGCCAACCCACAGGTGAGATTGGCATTTTGGGGGGTATTCACCCGTGGTCAGCAAGGGGGGTGGCACTGTTCATTACTGCCTCTTCTGTTAGCTGTTGCGCCATTTTGCCGATGAAAACACCAGTGGACATATGTGATACAACATATGTGATACGAACTTGTGGATCACAAGTCGACGGAGAAACTTTTAAGTGAAAGCCCTTTAAAAATGGGTCTTAAGGAATTGTCCTTGAAAAATTACATTTTTAAAATTTATTTTCCAGGTTGAACGTGAAAGTTTCTTTTGCCTTTCATGAAGAGTTTGTTTGCTCAAATTCCTTCGGCTGGCTATTTAATGTTGATTGTTTTTTTTCTTTTTACTTTCTGCAGAATTACAACATTTATAAGCGCCTTGTGATGGAGCTGCTTTCCAATCCCCACATGAATCAGGCCGAGGCGTACCGCAACTGGGCTGACCTGAGAGACGTACTTCTCAACCTGGTAAGTCACTGTCCCCTCCTTGGCCAAAAGTTTCAGGTGTGAAACTGCGTGATTTTTGGAATCGATTTGGGGGACCTTAAAATGTTTGAAAAATGCTGGTAGGAGGGATTTAACGGTCTTGGAAAATTTTGGAAAATCCTTGGAAAAATATCCTGAAATGTCATGGAAAAGTATGGAAAATTGGGAAAAATAGGGTGTCCTGGAATCTTGTTTTGAGATGAAAAACAGTCATGAAATGTCATGGAAATCAACATCATGCAAGGGCTATTTTTGCTGGGCAGTTTTGATGAGATAATAGAATGATACATTTATTGGTTCTATTCTTGTCTGTCTGCAGTAGTGGCTATGGCAATCTTCCAGTTCATAATAGAAAGCAATATTTCCAGGCAAAATGGCATTAAATATCATGGAAATTGTCACATTTTAGTCCCAGACAGTCCTGGAAAAGTTGTGGAATTTGGTTTTAAGATTGCTGTGGGAACCCTGCGGTATGACTTGTCCTTATCTCGTTTGCTTGGAAGTGTGACCACGTGGCCAAGTCATCGGATGCCAACACAGCCCAGCACGAGGAGTTTGAAGCCATGTTGACTATCGCCCACTATTATGCCACCCGGAGTGTGTGTATGGGAACCCAGAACCTGGTAAGTCCCATCCAATCCGACTTCTCACCGCTGGCTTTTGAAGCAAAATGCAATGTTCAAAGCATGCCGGTAGAGCATTATGAAGCGCACGTGACTAAGGTAACATCAGAAATGATTGAGTATAGCTTGCAGACATGATGTCGTCTGTGGATGTGGCTTGGGCTAGCTCCATAGATGCGTGCGATGTGGCCAGCCGTAGTGAGCTAAGCCATTTCTATTCGGGCTCATTGGCACCGACTTTGTCCGTTTTGGATGTCAGGCTTTTCTGTCTGCTTGTACGTTTGTAGTCAAGATCATCTCAAGACTAGACGTAAGATTAGCCACAGGGATAGGAATGCATAGACGATTTTGCATTAAGAACGTACTGCGAGTCCGGCATTGTAGTTAAGACCTCTTCAAACATCGCAAGACCACCACAAGACCTCCAGTCCGAATTCAGGTCACAAGCTAATCAAATGAACTGCAACAAAAGCATTCCTTTGTCACTGTTCACCCTGTTTTGTGACTGATCTTGTGACTGATCAGGTGTCTGGTCTTGTGACCAGTCTCATGGTCTCAACTACAACATGGGCATGCATCCTGTCCATCAGCCTCACCTGTGTGTTTTGTTTAACAGGAAAGTCTGGCGGCCAGGCTGTCCATATCCCTGCTACGTCACACTGACATCATACCGGCTGACAAGGCCTTCTACGAGGCTGGAATGCACGCCCGGTCACAGGGCATGCTCAACATAGCGTTTGTCTTCCTCAACCGATTCCTAGATCTCACAGAGGTAAAAGAGCTAAGTGCAACATCACGACGCAATATGGTGCACCAAGTGTTGTCATTTCCTTGCAAATAGAATGCTACTTAGGCCAATATAGTTTAATGACTTCTTCATCTAGTTTGCCTGTTATTTTGTCTGTTAGTACATTGGGATTCCACTTTCAAGACAGAGGTATGCATTGTGTGTCGGTGTTCTCATCATTCAATATGAGGAAGACAATTAGACATGTTTAATTACACTAATTTCTGGGATAGAGATGACACTATTCATTTATCTTATTCCTATCCACAAAGTGGTAATATTTACTATTCCACCTGGCTGTAGAAGGCTACAGATAACACTGACCTCTGGGACAGAGATGAAGACAAGATTCATCTATCTTATTCCTATCCACAAAGCGGTAATATTTACTTTTTGACCTGGCTATAGAAGGCTACAGATAACACTAAGTCTGGGACAGAGATGAAGACACGATTCATCTATCTTATTGCTATCCACAAAGTGGTAATATGTACTATTCCACTTGGGTATAGAAGGCTACAGATAACACTGACCTGTGGGACAGAGATGAAGACGCTATTCATTCATTCTAATCCTGTCCAAAAGTGTTAATATTTGCTATTCTACCTGGCAGTAGAAGGCTATATAATCGGCAGTCTGAACTTGTTAGATAACACTGACTTCTCGGATAGAGGTATGGACACTATTCATTCACATGTCTATCCTAAAAGTATTCCTATTTACTGTGTTACCAGGCTATTGAAGAGGGCAGCCTGGACATGTTGGATAACACCGACTTCCAGGATACAGACATCCCCTTTGAGGTTCCCCTTCCAGAGCGCCAGCATGTGCCGGTAGGATATACCCGTTGCTTTCAATGGAATATAACGAAAGGAATAAAAATATTTGAAAAACATACTGGTCGGACGAAACTAGGTCTAATAATCAGCAATTCGAAGCTCTTTATTACAGCTAGGAGAATTTCTGCAGTGCCTACCACCATTTTTAATGAAAGAATTAAAACATCTCTTTACCAATGTGTGTGTCCTTTGCTGAATTTATTTAAATTGGAAATGATATCAGTCAGTATATGAAAGAACTTCATACAATCCTGACTTTAAATTTAATGCAGTTGGAGTAATTTGATTTATAATTTATGATTTTTATGAATTTAAAATAGCAATCAATTTTAATGTATGGAAGCCATTTTCAATATGATTAAGGCCTTGACTTTAGGTTGAATTAAGTTGGTTGTGAGCGAAAAAGAAATTAATCCCAAACAGTCAAATACTGGACTAATTCATTTTTTGGACACTAGCGTGAATTTTCGAGAAAGCGTGTTGGATTACGGTTAAACCTAGTCTTGATGGAACTTGCCTCCATAATTAACTGACTTGGTGCAGTCTGCTCACTACTTTTACATGTACTCTGGAAACCTTTTCCTTCCTGCTGCAAATTTTAATGGGAGCTAGAAATAATCGGGAATAATGCTTGAATTTGTCAGTGGTGCTGAAATGTTTGTCTGCATTCCGTAACTTTTCAGGAAGATAAAAAGGAGGAGGTGAAGGAATGGGTCCTGGCCGTGTCCATGGACCAGCAAGTGGAGCAATGTCTGGATCACGACGAAAGAGACACCTACGTGGCCTCCTTGATAGCGGCTAACACCAACATACAATCACTACCATGCGTTATCACTGGTGAGCAATTCAAGTAGTATCCGGGACGGATACTATACATGTGATACATTTAATGTACTGTGTGATGTACTGGTGAAGTATAGAAAAAGTATCCGTGACAGATTCTAATACTGATCTACATTCATGACGTGCTATTACTGTACTGTTAGGCTTGATATCAGTCATCATCACAATATAATTGTTACATTCAGATATTACTGTTGAGGTATACAAAGTGCTACTTTATACCAAGATACAGTGAGTACATTATGTCATTGGTGAGTTTCACCAAGTTACAGTGAGCACATTATTTCATTGGTGAGTTTCACCAAGTTACAGTGAACACATTATTTCATGGGGAAGTTTTACGAGTAGCATGCGCCATGAGAGTTAAAACAAGAGTATTTCTGATACACGTTGAGAAGGTAGTCCGATACCAGCATACAGTACCTATCTTGGGGGTTGAAGACTCCGTGCTTTACAGACGGCTAAGTCATTGCGTCGTCGTTGAGACCGTGACGAGACCATGCGAGTGACTGGTCACAAGGAACAGGTTGAGCAAAAATAAAAGGGTGTTTTGTAGCTTGAATTCAGAGTGGAGGTCTTGGGTTGATGGTCTCGTGAGGGTCTTGCGGGGTCTTGTGATAGCAGTAAAAGGTCTCGACCGCAAAACTTTAAGACTGTCTATAGGTCAAAAAGGAATGGATCAGCTAGTAGAACACACTAGACCGCCTTTTTGTTGAAAAAAGTGACCTGTTTGGTTGCAGGTTATCCCGTGCTGCGGAACAAACTGGAGTTTAAGAGACCGGGCAAAGCCGCCAACAAAGATGATTGGAACAAGTTCCTCATGGCCACAAAGGTAATACTCAAATCCTTGCACAAATGCATTCTCCATCTCCCAGTTATAATCTTGTTGTCCCCGCCCCCTTTCCAGCCCACAAGGATAGATGTGGGAGGCCCCAAACGTGTATTTACATCCAGTGTTTTTACTCAAGCTTGGGCTCCGTTTCGACTTAATCTGCACAGATCCTACAGATTCTGATGAGGTTTGTGCCGTCACCTAGTTTTTGTCTTTTACCCGTAGATGTCGCACAGCCCCGACTGCCAAGACGTCTTGAAGTTCATCGGTCAGTGGTGCGGAGCAGCACCCAATCAGAGCTACACATTCCAGTGAATTCATTGAACTGCCGTGTGTCCAAATTTGTCACGACAGTTCAAGTTTACGAAAATGACGGAAAATCAGACCAGTGCTTTTCTTGTGAAATACATGTAGCAATACATGTACTTGTGTTGAGACGGCAGGTTTGAATAGATAGATTTCATTTCTTTTCAATTGTATTTAGAATACACTGCTCCGGTAATCACTTTTGTTATTTTCATTTTGAAATGCTTTCGTCCGACTGTAAGGCGTCTATTCACGGGTGAGAAAGAAAAAGTCAAGAATACCAGAAAAAGTGTAAGCATAATTGTAAGACATGATTGTCTAAACTCTGTGTATATGAGGGATACGTATGCCGACATTATATTCATATACAAATAAAAGTAGGGATTTAGCGTGGTCCTCAGTCATGCACAAGTTACTTTTGTGTATCGCACTCGAGGGCAGCTGGCAGAACCATTTTTTTTGGGGGGGGAGCGATTTTTTGCCGAGTGCCAAGAATTTGGAAATTTCTACACGTTTGAATCTATTGTGGCTTTTCTGAGGCCCAGGGCAAGGCTAAACTTTGGCCGTTTTACCCGGCTTGCGTTGGAACGGCATTAGAAAGCCCTTTTTGGGGGTAGCATGGCCCCCCTCGCCCTATCCTATCCACCAGTGATCATAATACTTGATGAATCGGCCAGTCAATAAAGGTTACTCCCCGAGATGGTAGTTTTCATTTAAATTTTTGATACACGACCGTGTAACCCCTGCCTTGTACCACTCCATTAAAAGTGGCCAGTGATCTTAAGAAATCGAGCAACTTTTGGAATTGTAATCGGGAACATCGGTTATCTTGTAGTTGCCAGATTTGGAGCGTTCTGTTTCAGATTGTTGATAACATGATTTGCGTTAATTTTTTGTGAATATTCCTACATACTGGAAGTCTGGTATCGGGCAAAATGTCTGGCCGGCTTACACCACCATTCATCGGAGGAACCCCTGTGATTGTGTAAATTTGCCTGTGGGAACCAGGAACCCGCCAGAGGGCGCGGCACTCATTGATTTGTGTATTTAGAAACAATTTTTATTACTAACTGTTCTGAGTGAGGTTTGGTTTATGACAGATTTTCGAAGCAAGTAATATTCCTGATACTGTTTACTCTGACAGTGAGTTATTAAAATTGCTATTAAAAATACATTCTAGCTGTCAAGGATGGTTCAAATCTGTGTAATTGTGCTTCAGTACAGTTTAATAATTTAATGAAGTTCTTCTAAACAGCCTCTAATGTAGATGGTGGTGTTTTAATTTAAGTGTTGCTGAATATTTATGAGTACAGACAAGGGCAGGTCGAGGACCGAATTCCCGAAGGGGGGAGTGGATTGTTTGGGGGGCTCAAAGTTATTAAACCAATGTTGTGATGTTACCCTATTCAGTAAAATGTCGATTAGCCTTGAGAATGTACAGTGTGGACTTTCTTCGAAAACTGACAGATCAAACTTTACGTGATAAACACACGAAAAGCACTCGTGACATTAAATTACGACGTCAAACACGGTGAGAAACGCTCTAAAAAATTGTAGAAACAGTAGATTGTTCTAGACGTTCAATACTCATTTTTTTTAGATTTGACGCGGCAACGTTTTCTGTTGAGACAAGCGATTTTTAATTAAAGTGAACCGCTCCTTCCATTCCACTATTTAACGTTTTGAATGTGTCTCTTTCAAAACGTCCATTTTATTTTTTTTCAATTTTAATTTAGATTTCCATTCTAATGGTATACGTATAATTTTTATTATTTTGATCCTTTTGGGGGGGGGTTCGTTTTAAAATTCACACGCAGCCACTTCACATTCGGTTAAACCTCAGTTTTAACTCCTCCGTTATTAAACAATTTTTTTTTAAGAACTTCAACAATCACAAAGTAACAATTTTGCAAAACAGATGAATCGTTTAGAAACTTACGTACGATACTTCCCAGATGAGTGAGATGAATTCCAAATGCATGTTTCCAAACGGAAGAATTTCCTTTGGCGACCGGGGGATTTCAAAGAATAAGCACCTACTTCCACGGTTGTAAACGTCATCTTCATTTGAAGAGACAGTCATCAGTATGTAGTTCTCGTATCAGTCACTCAAGAAACTTGCTTCTTGGTGGTGTAGACAATCCCCAGCTCCGTACAGTCACATCGATAGCCGTTGCCAACTCAAATTTAGCATATTTCTGCGACTAACATATAGATAGGCTATAAATCCATTTGGACCGTAAGACAGTGTACGTGCCGAGCGATACACTGATGGTGTCGACTGCATGTCTGTGTGGTATTCCGCGTAAAGCAACATATGCAGCAAGGTATGAGACGGAGAGAACCCCCCCCCCTGCTTTGCGTTGATCATTGTCTCGCAGGAATCTGGGGAATTCCTTTCAGACACCTTGGGGGGGATGTGTTAAGTAACAATAGTCTGGAATGTGTATAGGGATTGGATATGTTGGGGGGGTACCCCTCGGTCTCATTTCTTGCTGGGTATATAAAGCATGTACTGCGCCTGCGAAAGAAAAAATAGCTGTGCACCCAGCTGATGGGGTTAATACTCAACGGCTTGGGGCAGGAGTGAAGCTTTTATGTACACGCAAATGTACATAGCTAGCCAACGCCGGACAAAACATTTTGTATACAAAATGACCTTTGAGGAAAGACTCCTTCGCACACAGTTCCTCCATTTTACAGCCTCGTTTAATATCTCACAACACCCGTTTTATCACAATTTGGAAGCTGCTTCTGCGTATATTAAACACGAAAGAGGATATTGATCTATAACGCTTCATTTCCATCCAACATTCGCTACGTGTAGGTATATACAGTATATACAAATGCCTAAATATTTTATACAGCTGCTGTTATGCCTCGATTTATTACAACGACAAACTTTTTTTTCTTGCTATGAATACACATTCAGGGAAATGGTGAATTATTTCCATTGACCTACGGTGACCTATATCAGTTGTCGAAAATATATCTCTTTGTCTAAAATCTTATAGAAATCATTGTGTTTACTTAAATTTTACAATGAGTAGGCTGTTTCAAACCGTTTTTACGGATTTCTTAAGTTTTTAGTCACTCAAAACGATGCATATTTACAAACGAATTTTGTTTCGCAATATTTCAGCTAATCTCCTGGCTTCTGCGTGCTTTATTTAAGTGGAACAAATTTCAATATATGTGTTAATCGATCATTCTAAATTAAATTTTGAATAGTTTAAAATTGCAAACACTTCCGCGATTCGCTTTGTTCCCATGATGGAATTTTCTGACTATTTAAACCATTACAATGTCTAATACAGTATTAAACCAACTTCAACTTTCCAAGTTAAAAATAACTTCATACATAATACGAGAGAGTATCAATCACTTCTGGGGGCAACAAATTATTCATGAAACCCCTTTATTTGTAGAATAAAAATTAAAAGATTAAACAGGTCAATAGTTAACTTTTCATGAATGAAGCGAAAAAACGACTAGTATGCTAAACGTGTGCACCAGCCGTTATTTCTACTTGGAGGCAAAGTGTATACGCCTCACCGTGATGACTTTCACCGAAGCACGTCCGGTGCAACCCAAGGGTGGATGGCGGAGGACCAGCTTTCAGTAGTGTGGTTTTTGGAGGCAAGTTTTTGTTAGCCTTGTTCAATATCCATTCCTCCGCCACTGAGAAGGGCCACAGAAAATAAACAAGATATATTTAGTTGCATCTTTTGACCCCAAAAGTAATAAATTTCATCCTTCCCCCCCCAAAAAAAAAAAATCGGTTGGGGATCCATTCTTGGTGCAAACAATAGCACTTGACAATGTACAGCAGTTGCCTGAGTATTTGATAGCAAGGACATTACCTGAAAGTGTACGGGCAAATAGCAACCACCAACTGGGAGCAAAAGCTACCTGGCTTGCGGCTTGCGATATAAGGACAGAGAAACAGAACTACGAAATAAATGAGCGCATATCCTTTATACATGTACAAACACCTGAGGTTATTTTTAACATTGGGTGAAAGTCCCGTTAAAATCGAACTTACCTCTACGATTCTGCGTTGAAAATATGATAACATATTTCATGACTTGGTACAATCAATGACGTTTTCGATTCATTCCTACCCAATCCCTTGAGGGCCCATGATGCCCATTGATATCAATATGCACAACGAACCATTTTGTCGTAATTATCGTATTTAAATTTTGCTTTCGATCTCGTATGCCATGTTAGAGGCTCCCACACTTCGATATCGCACATTCTCCTCTGTGGGTGGAGCCCTCGTATCCTCGTCTTTGTTAGCATTGTTGCCACGGGTTTGTGAACTTGCATCATCCGCTGGTCTCCGGCGGCACAATACCCGGGACATGAGCGCCCTCTTGAGGGGAATCAACAGCGCACACACCACCGACGCGACGAAACTCGCCACCACCACGAACAGGCTCAAGGTGTAGTCGCCTGTCAAATCGTAAAATACACCTGCAGGCAAACGCATATATTAAAATACATCATTTCGAGCAGCCGTGCAGGGCTGGCCTTTATACAATACAAACAGTAGGCTACGCACTGCGAAAATGGCCTATGAAAAGTTTGGGGGCGTATAAGAAAATAATTCGATAATGATAAAATAGGCCTACCCGTATTTTTGATACCGTGTTGGTGTACCATATAGAACACGAACAACGACACACAAGAAACGTTTCCTTGAACTGCCGACGTGTGGAAGTAAATTTAACACTGACTTGTTCATAGCTCAAATGTTCGAACATCGACGGCACATCAGCGCTAACCACCACGTACTGTATGAAAGAGATATTAATGGCTAAAGGGAGTAAAGCCTACAAGACACTGGTGCCTAGGGCCTACAAAACACCGGTGCCTAGGCCTGCCAACCGCCTAACCCAGCCCTGAAATTATGTGGGAAACTGTTCATTCGTAACCTTCGTTCTACTGACAAAGCCTGTACACTGGAAGCCTGGTGCACGTTTGTCGTGAAATAGTGGGCGTGGTTGAGTGATAGAAGGCTTATAGGTACCTGTCAACGGAGAGCCAATCAGCACGCCCGTTCCGAAGCCGAGTACAGCGATGGCAACAACAGCGCGAGGGCTGTAGTTCTGGAAGAGTTCACCCGCAGCTGCGAAGCACACGCCATGAACACCTCCACGACAGAAGCCCCAAACTATACATGTATTTGGAAACAAACGCACGACAGTTATTCAGAAGCGTTGAGAAAGAAATCAAAGAAACCATTGCAAAGTTCCTGAATTTCCCTCAGTAAAAGCAAGAATCCCCAAACCCTTGAAACTATAAACAGCGTGCACTGACTAAAATACAAGTTGACCGGAATGAGTTGAAAATGTTTCGGTGAAAAAAAAGAATCCCTCCGAAGAAGATGGCTTTAAAGCCTCAGAATCCAGATTAACTGACAAAGCCTCCATTTTTGTGGGACACGTGTAAGACTTCCAAATGACTAACACCAAATCTGTTTCTTGTTGACCTTCTTGTTTACCAGAGCATGACTACATTTTAAAGGAATGCTTTGCAATACACAATTCAGGTAGAAAAACAAGTTGCGAGTCTAGCCCCGCAGTCTGGCTGGAAACTGACTACAGGTTACTAAGCAACATCCAGGCAACTGTACCGATGTATGTTACCTACGTATTCTTCATGGTATCTAAAAAATGGTCTGTCAACATTTTAAACATCATTTAGTTCTCAATGAAACTAACAAGTGCTAATCAATAATGTATATAGCTAATTCAGAAAACAATGTGTAAACTAAGACAAAAGCACGCTGTCGGGAGTCCAACACATCTGGTGAGCAAGGCTTCCTGACGGGGAAGCCATCAGTTTGTTCGGTGTCTTACCGACTGCCAAGACGACCGTACTCCAGAATGCTGAAAAGACGGTGAAGAGGCCGGAAATCACAGCCCCGCCGACCGAGCTCACCACCACCACGTACAGCTTCAGGCACGGCAGACGATCCCCGAACACGGCAACGGTGAGTTTGCCCAGGATCTCGCCAGCTCCCGAGGCGGTCAGGGCCACTGATATCCTCTCGGTAGAGAGCCCGATCCCTTCCATGAAGCTCGACTTTGTGTGAAGCAAGAAAAACAGACAGACTAGAGGCTTTGGGGGTTGTTTCGCGGACAGTTAGACACAAATTGAATGTGCCGGAAGTTCTCTCATATTCAGACAAGGCCATCCACCTTTACTTAATAAATGAGTCTACACTGTTTACAAACAAACAAACCAACCGACAAAAAAAAACAAAAAACTGCTGCAAAATACATAATCCCCCTTTTTTGTTAGTCAATTGGAGTTAAATAAAATTAGCAAACTGATCAATGATTTGTTTTGCTTTCCCTGTGTGGCCAAGTGGTTAGGGTCAGGTTCCATCATAGGGTTGGAGGTTCGAATCCCGGCCGCTGGCTTCTTTTTTTTGTGGCCCTTGGCAAGCCACTACATCCTTGCTTGCCTCTCTCCATCCAGGAGTGTAAATGGGTACCAGCATTAGCTGGGGAAGCAACCTGCGATGGACTGGCATCCCATCCAGGGGAGAATAGAAATATTCTCGGTCGTTTAATGCCAAGGAAACCGCAATAAACACAGGCCTGATGAGCCAAATTGGCTCAGATCAGACTTGCTACATACTTGTACATGTACACACACCCGTTCTGACGGTATCAACCCTAAGGGCCTATTTGTTTTCACACGGATTTTGATCTCGATCATTGATCCCCAAGCTGGTTCGCGTTAACCATGGGGGCGGGGGTTCTGACGTCAGTGAACCAACGTCAGATCACTGATCGCGATCTGGAGCCGCGTGAAAGAAACAGGCCCCAATATCCAACCAATTCTTTTGAGCAAGGGATGTCGCTGGTGCATGGATATTTATTTAATCTCACACTATTCGATGATACTTACGAAGTTGATAATGGCAAAGGTCCAGCCGAGCTGAGCGGTGGTGATGGATGACACCCACAGCCACACCTCGACATTCAGCACTTTCTCACAGAACGACTTCAGACTCCCAACGCGACTTGGGACATCTCCCGTTAAGTCGGAGCCGCTGCGTGCCTGATCATCGGCTACCTGACCTTGGTCAGGCGCTCCAGACTCCACGGGAACTTCGGGTTTAGGGTTGGTGCAGTCTTGATCACTCGCCGGGTCCTCCGCGGCCTTGAGGAAGGGTAGGGCCGTCACCAGCCCGAGTCCCAGCGTGACCCCGCTGAGAAATCGGAAGGTGCTCCTCCAGCCGTGAGATGCGGTGAACGAATTGGCCAAAGGCCCCACCACCATGACACCTTTCAGAAACAAATGCCAAGACTGTTACTTTAAAGGTCAGCGTGGCACTTTTATCTCGTGAAGTAGTTTATATGTAATACTTGTAATGTAGGCCTAATACACGCAATAGCAAGGGCTCTGCACAAAAATTTCCGTGGCAGATTGAGGAATATATATTATGCACTTGAGCTTTAACTTGATACTCCTCCTTGTTGTGTCAATGGTGATGTAACTTCTAGTAGTTGGGTTATGCCATTGATGTCATGTTCAAAAAACTTGCTATATTATTATGGAACATTTCATAATACATGCGTCAGTGGGAGACGATCTAAGCCGCAGCTGGTAACTTCCGTAAGCGAGTGTTATTGTCAGCCTCTTTTGCCGAGAAATACAGACGAGTTACCATAGTGCGCCTCCAAGAGTTGGCAACGCGTTGACCAGTCACAGTGCGTGAAATATGTCGACCTTTTTCAAACATGCATGGGTAGACAGATTTCGGGCACTACGGGTGGTCAACGCGTTGCAAACTCTTGTAGGTGCACTACTGTGAAACGCCCGTATTCGGACACGGCTTCAGCAGAATATTTACGTACCAGCGGAGGAGCCGATCATGGCGCCCCCTGTTGACCGACAGGCGCCCCCTTGTCCCAGGTACCAATCCATCAGCACACTGGCAGACCCACAGACCATGAACCCTGCGCCCACTCCCGTCAGTAATCCAAACGTCAGGTAGGCTTGGGGCAGCGAAGAGATGAAGGAGGTGGACAGGTATCCGGCCGCCGACAGAATAACCCCGAGGAAGACCACGCGCACGTTGCCAATCTTCCAGGACAGGATTGCCGTGAAGGGAGACATGGTACCAAGCATGGCAGCGGCCAACGAGCCCACCCATCCTGATAACAGCAAAACGACGAGGCTACCATAAATTGTAGATTATTTAAGAGTGAAGTTTAGTTTGCTCGTCCCCTACACTCCTTTCTAAAGGGCTAACAAGATGTGAGGATTTTCGGTATGACGCATGACGTGATTCCTTCGAGCCCTCATTTGATAAATCCAAGTAAGAATACAGGTGTTTCACAGTAGTGCGCCTCAAAGAGTTTCCACCACGTTGGCCTGTCACAATGCGCGAAATCTGTCGACCCAATGCGCGTTTAGAAAGGGTCGACAGATTCGGGCACTGCGATCGGCCAACGCAGTGCAGACTCTTGGAGGCGCACTACTGCGAATCGCCCGTATTATGGGTGCATTCCACCAAATGGTTGCATTTCTCCGCGCGAGCTCATTTATATTTTGTGATCCCACGGGGCTTTTACAATAAGTTATGCCATAACCAAGAGGCGTCATAGAAATATTCCTATAAATCCTATAAATCCCGAATTTGGGACTGATAGTTTCCAGTTCGAGGTTTTTCTTTCACAAAAAGCCCTAAATTGCGGGCCTATGCTGGATGGGGGCGGCCTGCTACATTCAGAGCTGAGCGCATAGTTTTACTGCTATCACGGGTCTATCTTTGGGGAAAGGCGCATTAAAAAAAAGTCGTGGCTAACCCCCATAAAATTGAAACGAAATTATTGTTCTGGCCATAATCTTGAATTTCCAGTGAAAAAGAAAACTCTCTTCCCGAGCGTCAACAGGCGGCGCTATTTCGGTCTGATTTTGCACTGTTTTTTATGGGCGCGTATTTGGTGTAGTGCAACCTTATGGGCTCGTAATAAGCGCACGCTACTGCATAAGCACTCCACAATAATTTGCGCGCCTGTAGCTGGGACCCACATTGCGCAGTCTTGTAAAAAGGCTCAGGAATGCTAGTCATTAAAATAGGCTCACAAAACGGAGAGATCAGTGATACCTGGATGAAAACAGTACCCTAAAAATGATCTATATTGGATTACTCGGTTAAATTGAGTAGACAATGACTGCTAGTAACTCAGCTCTATAACGTGCATCCCAGACACCAAGGACAGTGTTGAGAGTTTTCACTGATTCTGGTTTTCTTAGGTGAGCGTAGAAGTTACTCTTGTCTATGGTTTAACACACTGGTTTAATTTGCATCCTTAACTGCCCCGGGTAGCACCCTGTAGGCCTCAGGGGCAATTGAAACGAACGGAGATTGGGGGGAGGACAAAATTCGAGGATAAATTCAGCCCCGTTGGATATAGAAATGACTGTTGTGGGAACAAAAAAACATGTTTAAACAGTGCAGGGAACAACATCAACTTGATTGCATTCAGTATATTAATGTCCTGAATAGTTTGCAGACAACATGAAAGTTACTTTATTGGTGTGTTAGAACGTTGCCTTATTCAGGTTAAATAAGTTTTTGTCTCTTTTTCTCTTGTTCTGTGGGTGTTTCATTTTGAGCCGACTGAAGAGTCGCTGATGTGAAAACCTTTTGGCAACATGCATAACAGGACTTAATAAATTTATTTGATTTGGTAGGAATTACAAGTTATAAACTAGTATATACTATCAGTACTAGAAGCGACTCGTTGGGTGAACAGTTTTGACTGAGGTCTTTTGTTACAATGATTTTTTATTTTATTTTATTTTGTGTGTGTGTCGATTTTCTGCTGAAAGAAGCCCAGGCACGGGGGCTGTATTCCATTGAAAGCTACCGACCCGTGCGCATTATGACCAAACCTGGTTTAAGATTTTGTACAGACTGCGGGTCAACCCGCATCATTCATTCAGATGTTTACATGGGCAAACAGTAGGATGATGCAATGCCACGCCGATCCCGATAAGGTCTCTGTGTGGGTTTTTAAGGGGCGTATCCAGCATTTATAAGGGGGGGGAGCAGGGTGGAACTCTTCATTGGCAATGAAGGAGGGGGTAAAATGATGGCCACTGAACCTCAACCGGGGCACACGTTTTCTCAACTTAAAATTTCGGCCATTGAAAATTTTAAATGTCTCTCTTCACCAATGAGTGCCTGTGAGGGCAAGGATGGTTGTGTTTAATTGAAAGAAAAGATTTGCACCTAAATATGGAGAATCGAGCAATATGCTCCCATGGGAGATGAAATGGACTTGGGAATGTTTCTGGGCCTGATGAACAGGGATAGTAGTGACGTAGCGCCTTTGTACGCTTTGTAAATACCATATTATCTTGTATTACTATTAAGTTTAAATATATTTTCATAATACATATTTTGCTCAATACAAAAAATTAGTTTTAACAATTTTGCCATCCCCAGCGTCCCAATTTTTCTCTTCAACTCTATCTAAAGAATGGGGAAGGAGTTGAATTTGAGCCCCCATGGAAATCTTGCGACTACACTGTATTCCCAAACCACTGAGAATAGATCAAATGAAACCAACAAATACCAAAATAATGGTCAATGGGGTAATTTCTTCTTTCAGATTTTTGCCCAAAATTGAAATAAAAAAATACATCAAACATGGGTACGAATTTACACGGCCATAATGGCAATAACGTTTTCACTTAATGATCTATGTAGACATAAAATCATCTCCAAACAAAATTTATGGACAATTTGGTATTCTAAATCTTAGAGACCTTGGGAGAGGTGTGAAATTGGCCCCGGAGTGAAAACATACTTTTAAAAAGCCCACTCGAAATAGGGTTAGAATTATAGTGGCGTATGTAGTTTTTTGGAGGAATGACATTTTAAAAAAACACCTACAAGGGGGCCACGCGCCTCCGGAATTCTTCTTTGCGGAGGGCAAACAAAGCCGTGGATACACGTGTGGACACGATCAGTCTGATGTTTGTACATATAGGGACAATTTAATCTATGCCGCACAACATTAATTATACTTTCCCCGACCGCTACGTTCAGCCTAGCTCTTTATAAAACAGATCTGTTTGTTCACTATACTCTCAGATGAAGCCATCCATTACTATCGTCAAGAGAAAGTATACCTTTTTGATGAGTTTGTTCTCTTGCAATATAAAATGCATCTCTGCCCGGTTCTTAAACCGATCAAGCCCAGTTTTCTTACAATCACAGGCCTTAAAGCAACCGTGGAAACTCTCCTAGCTCGCGCGTTTTCCTAAACAGCTACAATTATTATCACACCATCATGATATGATCGAGATGTATTTGACATAGGCCCTACCTGTCAAAACGGCACTGGTCTTAAACTCGGTCTGCAGTGGCCCTAAAAAGACACTGTAGTTGTACAGGGGGCCGAGGGACACCAGATATTGCATGAAGACGGCAACAGCGATGATATACTTCCAGTACCTTGACGCCATGTTGATCGAGGTTATGCTGTATATTTGACCGGGGCGTACACGCACACTCACTGCAGCGGTGAGCGGTTTAATAATACTCCTTCACTATGCGCGGTCTGAGTAGGGAGCATTCGACGTTGGCAGCCGCTGGGCGACTCGGACGCGTACTTGGCCGCTGTCCCGTGACCACCGCAATTATTATGACGTTTTGTGCGCATGTGTTCAAGTGCACGACTAGGGCATGATCACACGGTAGCAAACAATCAATGATCTGGCCTTGTCCTTACACAGCGCTGGCATTGCATCAGTCAATTGGATTTCCTCAGTTGTAAGCAGGAGCATACGTGGTCCGACTTTCCTGTACTTTTCCGTTTGCTAAATAAAATTTTTAAAATGGCGCCGTGATTGTGCTCTTTTAACAAGCCACTCCCGTATCAGTCCCCTAATCTATGGTTTCCTTTCTTTGTCGATTCGTCGGAAATAAGAATTCGCTCCACCGTTAGCCTCTAGCCTTCTCGTAGCATTTTTGAAATTCATTTTTAACTGCATAAAAGATATATCCATTTTACGGAAACTTGCCGTTGCCCGTTTTACCTTCTACGCTTTACCTGACAATTGTTAGGGTGATGTTATATGCCAGAAGCTTAAGGCATTTCATGTTTAGCCAGATTTCAGCCACGGTCTGAATTACAACCAAATTTGAGAAAGGAAAGAAAATGCCCGAAATATCTATTGCAGAAATATAGACCCCCCTACTGAAATACATGTACATGTGTTCGTACTCAAGTACATTAAGGTTCAAAGTTCGTCTTTGCTTCCTGATTCTGAAAAATAGTGTAACTGAACACCGCAGCCCATTCAAGTTGAGGCTCCTAAATGCCCTTAAAATGGCATAATGAAAATTGACATGACGGAGCCTGAGCTCAGCTTAAAGGTTTCAATATCATGTGACCCAACTAAAATACTATATTCATGTCACTGTATAGACTGGTTCCCGTCCCGTATGATCATGACAGTCTCCTCCGAAAATAGGGACCCGAAGGTTGAGGAAACGATGCCCATTCAGTGCACAAATCAAGCAGGACTCGAAGTTGATAGAATGTTTTGCGTTTTCCTCTTAGCTACAGAAAAGTACTTCACTAAAAATTTTTCATTTATCTAAAATATAACACAATAATCACTGATTTAAAGGAAATTGTCGTAGAACGATTTATCGACGATAATCACTGAAACATACACTGTGATCAACAGAAGCTTAGCAAAGGTAGGTACGTGTGTTTCATTGTCGCCTTATCGCTGACACCTAATTCATGTTAAGCTTTGCTATTGAACTGACAAAACTTAAATATCCGGCATGGGCTAATCGCGCACGTTAAACAGCTGTTTAAACGTGTGCGATTAGCTGAAGACTGGTAGCTGCTGCAGCTAGCCTCGGTCCAGCATGTTACGTGCTGTTAAATTAATTTTCGGTGCCTCCTTGAAAAGTGTATACGTGAACACCCGGGTGCCTCCTCTGCCATGATTGAGTGTGATGGCAAACCTCGCACTCCAAAGAAAACTGAGTGGCCTTTTGGACAAGAAGCGCTGAACCGTTTATGGTGCATGCGCCGGGTTTATGCCATGGTATATCTGCATGTGTATCACACATGACCTCGAAAAACCGACCTTAGTACTGGAGAAGCCACTATGCATTGAGCACTGAGCCTAAAATGAAATGGCCGCGTCCGTCAAGTTGAAGTTGCCTGATATTAGTACATGGCATGTCGAGCGTGACCTTGCATGACTGTGCGACAGCGTGCATGTGCGAGGAAATTAACTTACAGTGAAAGCCTAAAGCAGTTCGCACATTTGTTAAGGTCACAATCTTTGACGCCCCAGGGCACTTTACTCCAGGCTTAACTTTTGAGGGGGGGGGTCATGCGAGGAGGGTGGGGGGCATGGGAGAGGCTGTAGCTATCTCTAAAGCGACTACGTTTCAGACACAAGAACTGCATAGATACGCCTAAACAAGCAACATATTGCATTGCTTTTGGGACGTCTCCCTTAAATTCCCTCTTACGGAAAAAATATTTTGGCTGACACCTCTTTCAGAACCTTAATGGGGATGTAGCATTAATAATTACGCTGTGTGTATTTGCGATGTGCACTTTCCAATGTGACAGTTAGGTGAGATTTGATCCATCGAGCTCCTAGAGTGTGACGTCATTACGTTTCAGTTCTATTCGGATCGATTTCACTGTACGTTCGGTTCGGTGAGTGTTTCTAGTCTTCAAGTTGAGCGCGGTCAAGACTAGACGTACTTGGTAGCTCATACAGCCGAATAGCAGTAACAGCAGAGGGCGCTACCCAAGCATAAGGCATGCTTAAATCCAGTCTTGGTGGCAGGTCAACCAGAGAGACTGAGCATTCCTTGCGCGCAACTCGAACAACCATGAGTAATAGCGCCTACGCGTACGCATCGCTCGACAGTTGGATACTAGATGACCCTCGCCAAGTGGCGTAACTTGGGGGGGGGGGGAGGTGCCCCAACCCCAGACGAATGCCCGTGTCCCCAGGTCCCCCCCTCCATTTTGAATCCGTGAACACCTCTGCTGCAGCTCATTGTCTTTTGGTGCCCCTTGAAACAAATGTGTGCACCCCCGGGTGCCCCCCGGACAAATAACCCTTACACCACAGTGACTGCCCTTCTCTTGACGTACAGAATGCCATGTATACCCATATGGAGCTTCCAAAGTTTAACTAAACGTTCGGCAAGAACCTTGCGTCCTTGACCTAGGCACTTGACTTGTCTAATACAATCAACCACACCCACATAATGAAAATCCCCAATGGCTACACTTCATTGAGTGGTCTACCACTGGCAGAGTTACCGTATCTCATGCCCATCACGTTGTAGGCGTTGACCTCGTACCACATAGGGTTAGTATATATGCCGTGTCACTGTGACGGGAGCTCTGTCTAATAGGGGAAGGAAAAGGGTCCGATTATCTCCCACGAACCCCCCCCCCGGCAAAAGAGGCCTAGACCGCCTTAGGAATATAAATATTTGGAAAAAAATCAATCAAATATTATTTTGACGATGTATACTGAGTGATCTGAAATTATCACACGAATTCACGTAATTCACAGGAATTACATTGTTCGGACTCGACTGTATTCGTGCGCACAAAATCAATTTCTGGGGTAATTTGTGGGAACGAATTAGTATTTCATTTCTACTTTAATTAGCAATTCAAGTTAACAAAATTTCACCCTATACAGAGTCCCGGGCTATATTTCGGAAGCTTAGGGTTCGTGTACGTGTGTGGCCCTTAATCAGGCACTGCAAGTTCTTTTTTATATGATGTCCGTGATTAAAAGCAGGACCGAGTTTCATCTCTCACGTGCATGGTAGCGCCCTCTATCAATGATATTTCGCTGTGTTTGACATCGACAGTACAGAATGTCTCGGGCTGTTAGGCAAAGAGAATGCAAATCCACTATTGGATTTAGTATCGATACCCTTGGAGTTGGGGGCCGATACTAATTGGGTTCCATTGTCCAGTGGTTACAACTACTGCATCGATGACGCGAGCGGGCGTGCTTTAAATCTCAAGTCTGTTTATGGAGACTATTGCCATATGAGTCTCTCCATTTTTGTACGAACCAAAAAGGCGGCTTATGCGTCAGTGCACATGGACAATTCGCGCATGTTGTGCTTATTCACACATTACGAACAGCCATTTTGGTTCCAAAGTCTGAAGTTGGTGCTGCTCTCTCTATTTACTGCTCTGCCCTATTCCGATGCCGTCTTTACGACAGTGGCCAGATATTGGCAGAGAGGAAGGGTCGTGCACAGACGCGGGGGGGGGGTAGCCGAGTTTGAGACCCGCGCACGCCTAAAGGCCTTTTACTCATTTTGGCTTCACGGGTGCTGTCATGGTTTTAATGCATTGATGATTCTCTTGGTATACAAAGTGTATTGTTTACTTAGGTCTATGTCCATCGTTTTCCTTAGATTTTATTTGATAAAGTCTTGCTCTACGAGCAGTATTTACAAACATCAATATAAATTGTAGCAAAAAGTATTCGCCAAAAAAAAGAAAGAAAAAAGCTGCAATTTTATATCCCAAAAGTAAATTAAATTAGTGGCTAAACTAAAATCTAACTGACGTAATTAAACTTAAAATGTCGTTTTTAAACGAGTAATAAGAAAAAAAAGAACGTGTGCGTGTACCAGGCTTTCTGAAAGAGCCACCCACTAGGTCGGCATATGGAAACTCATCAAATCTGTGATATTTTTATTATAAAAAGTCCAGTGTGATTGTGGCTGAGGGGACTCAACTCTCTTGTCATGGCTTGACCAGTGGAGCTCTTGAAGCATGCTACTGCATTTATATATACGATATACATCTATGCTGGTCGATTAATTCTAAAAAAAAACATATAAACCTTTGTACTTTGTTTTTCTGCAACGTAGTCTTGGGTAGGTTATTTCCCTCTTATGACAAATCTATTTGATCAAAGTGTATGTAGAAAATACAAATGTAAACAGAACAAAAATTGCAAAATCCTGGAACAACCACCACCACCATCCCCACCCAATCCCACCCATATACCCCCACCCCCAACTAATCCCCTGCCCCACATTAAGAAATCCCCACCCCACACTAACAAAATGCCACCTCATCCCACCTTTTCCCCATTGCGCTCCACGATATCTCCTTTCCATCCCAATCAAATCAATTCCCACCCTACCCAGGCAGAACCCCATCCAACATCACTATCGTACCTCATTCCACCCAACTAGTACGCAAAGGTTGGACTGAGCCCTTATTGGAATTGAAGCTTGTTTGATTCTACAGAAGACAAAAGACTCAAACGACTGTGCGCAAACATTACATGCACGGTATATACGTGTACATGTAATACGAATGAAAACCTTGATCTAACCACCAAATAAATCCCCACCCCACGCAGACAAATCCCCAGCCCCCCATACAATAAGAAATTTTCACCTCCCCCTACCCAGCCCCCATTATATTCCACCATGATTTCCTCATGGGCCTAAAACATAATGACACCATGCTTTGTTAATATGTGCGCCTTCTTATGGGGGCTCCGTGGATCACTTCCCACCTCACTGTCACAGAATTGCGCACATATAAACAAAGCGTGACGTCATTACGTTACAGGTCTATGCTATCCCACCAAACACACAAATATCCACCCACGTAGCCACACCCCCATCCCCTACCCCCACTCTACCCCAAAAATCCCTAACCAAGGGTTTAGAACTGGGATTAGCAGAGAATTGAATGCTAAACTACCTCTAATCAGTACCTTCGGGAGACATTATACTTACAACCATTACGCACGATCTCCGGGTTGTTTTTAAAATCAGATTTCCATTTCATACGCAGGGTTGTAGGTCCCCACACTGCGATGTTTGATATCCTCCACAGGCGGAACCTTCGTGCTATTGCCTTGGTAGTTGTTATTGACATCATCCACTGGTCTTCGGCAGCATGGCACCCGGGACACGAGCGCCCTCTTGAGGGGGATAGACAGCGCGCACAGCACCGACGTGACGAAACTGGCCACTACCACAAACAGGCTCAAGGTGTAGTCGCCCGTCAAGTCGTAGAAAGCACCTGTCGAGAGAAATGCACGTCAATACACATGTCACAAGGCAAATCGTCAGAGCAGGGTATCAGATCAACCGGCTGTTGGCGTCAGCCACGGGTTCCGAATTGTGTGACTGACTAGGCCCCCCTACCAACTTTACTTATCACCTGGTTACTGTTCGGACAGAATGGGG